GAATGCATTCCGTACATGTATGAAACTACCAAGGAATCAGCTTAGAAGGAAAGAAGGGAAAGAAGGGGAGGTACAGAGGCTTTGGGGGACATCTGGAGAATGCAAGGAAGACGTGTCACCTTGTATGGCCTCTTCATGGAGTGGGAAGGGAGGGAGAATGGAAGAATTCGGTGGGACCACACCTGGGCATCTGACCCTGAGGAGAGTCAGTGATGGGGCAGCGTCTGCTCAGGGCTCCAGGAGCAGGGCAAGGGTGGGAGGGGCAGCAGAGGAGGAGTGACTGCTTGTCATTTGAGTACAGAGCAGGTGCAGCACGTGTCCTCTGTATCTGGAGGTGATAGGGATGGGCTGGCACTCAAGAGGAAAGAAGAGGAAAGAGAAATGTTTGTCCTAGAGCACTGCTTTTCAACCTGTGGGTCTCAACTTCTTTGAGGTCGAATGACCCTTTCGCAGGGGTCGCATATCAGATATCCTGCATTTCGGATGTTTACATTACGATTCATAACAGTAGCAAAATTACAGTTATGAAATAGCAATGAAGTAATTTTATGGTTGGGGTTATCACAACATGAACTATATTAAAAGGCTGTAGCATTAGGAAGGTTGAGAGCCACTGTTCTAGAGCGACAAAGTAGGGCCAGAAAGCTTGCAAATGGGTGACCCCAGGCTGCATACACCCTACATGAATGTTTCACTTGGTTCACAAAAATCAATTGGTGACAAACACTGCTGAAAAGCTGGGAAATTTCATGACACGACAGCTTGTGGCTGGCCACAGTGTGCTGCAGCTGGCTGCCTCGCTCAGTCAACCTTATTCTTCAGGCTACCCCATCTCTCTGTTCTCTTCCACCCAGGGGCCGCACTCACTTACACTTTAGCCTTTGTAAGTGACTGAGTTTGCAACCCATGCTTGAGTAATTTAGTGGGAGGAATGAATGAAGACCAGTGTCACAAAGCCAAGGGCCCTGTCCCACACACTCCTCAGGCTAGGGCTTGCACTGAGCCTGCACAGAACTGTGCAGGGTCCTTGCTTCTACCTTCACTCATCTTTCACAATTCCCAACCCATCAGTTCCTTCCTAAGATTTCCCCCTGACATCGTTCTGCAGCTCCGCCTGGCCCTACCTCATGAATTTCTCCAAGACTTCCTCCACCCACATCTGCAGCCTCAGGAAGCTGATGCCGTAGTGCCACCAGAGTCGGAAGAGGTTCAGCATGTACCAGTCGGTTTCCTCCAGCACGAAATGCTCCCCGCCGAAGATGGCGCTTCTGCCCACCACTTCGCGCCGCTGTCTCAACCCTGTGGTGACCGGCAGCCCCTCAGCTCCCCTTCACGGCCCCCAGGAGGCCCAGAAGTGCTTTGAGCTTTTGCATTGGGGCCTTGTGCTTCTTGTCTATAAGTAGCATGCTAATGAATACATTGAGAAAAACGTTTGCTCTTCCTAGTGAATAAAAAAATGAAAACAATGTACCATTTTGTAATTCATTCAACGGGGATGTGCTCAGCCAAGAGTGAGGGAAATGCTACCATTCCAGAAGGTCTAGAGGCTCTCAGGGCAGGGCTAGCTTTGACATGGGGCCCTAAACTCACAGTAGCCCCTTGTAGCTTCTCAGCACTCCACTCGAGAATATGTATACGGTCATGATTTCGTCCCTTCCACCCCGACATAACATATACAATATCCTGCACCCTAGACAGTCTACTGTATACTTACATGGCACTGTGTTTCACCCCAAGTACAGAGAGGGTGGCAGGGGGGACATTTCAACCTTCTCTATGGCAAACCCGGCTGTAGCGAATGAGCTTGCATGTATGCACTTTGCATATCTACAGGGAGTGATCCTGTAGGGCCACGTGTGAGAACTGGAACTTCTTCAGACAGCATGCGTTTCTGGAGTTTAGATGATGCTGACTTTGAGTCCCAACTTTATCACTTTAGCAGTGTCACCTCAACTGAAGGATATTAATGATTTGAGCTCCAGTCTCTTTAGAGGGAGCTCTGTCTCTCATCCTGAAGGCCAGTCGGGTTTGGGGCAATGTCCACATACCACCTGGTAGAGTACTAAGTATCTGGCGGGCAACAGGATGTGGACACTGATATGATTGCATAATTAAGAGGCAGTACAGAGAAAGGGAGACTGGCCTGGGAGTCAAACCTGGGTTCTAATCCCGGCTCTGCAACTAACTCACTGTGTACCTCAGGCAAGTTCTTTCCCCTCTCTGGTCTCAGCTGCTCCATCTGTAAAATGAGGAGATGGAGCTAGATGACTATCTGACCATAAGGGTCTGGGGAAATCTGGGAAGGGCCTGAGGCACCGGGCACTAGTCCCCAGTACTGGACACTCACCGAGCAGCTTGACGAAGTCCTGCATGTGGAGGCTGAGAGAGTGGAAGGAGGCTGCCCCACTCTCTTTGTTCTG